CAATTCATATGAACTATTATACCAACTAATATAACATTCTTATTACAAATTACTTACTGGCCCTCTATAACATATGCATATCTTATTAAAATTATAACAATTCTAGTAATAGCTTTACAAAACTGCCAAATAACTATTTAGATGACCCACAAGCTAACAACCAACTACATCAACTCTTTTCTTGCACCAACAGCAAACTCTACTCTTACTTTTCAAAAACACAACTACTGGCTACTTAAATTACTAATACAGACTATAATCACCCATAAAGACACCAAAATTAAAGGCACCCATATAGAGAATTTGAACAACTACTTTTTATATAACAGAACAACACATTAGTTTACTAAAACACAATAATACAAACTGTACACTCAACTATACATACTTGATAAAATAGCTTCTTTCTTATCTGAAACAATACACTAATTAAACACAAAACTTGCCATTTTATTTAACACTTAAAAATGCTACAAATACTGCAAAATGACATGCTCTTAACAGAACTAAACACTAGGATGATATCTGAGAAAACACTAATTAGAACTCAATACATAAATTTTTAACTACAACAACAAACCCAATACTTGCACTACCTATCTCAAATATTCATAACTAAAAAGCTTTAAAATCAAATTTCTATTAGATAAGCTACCAACACTACTATACCTACATTACAGAAAACCCAAAACATACAGTATACCAACTCTATGTGCAATCATTGCACTATACATATTAAAAACAACTCTCACTTGCTTGAATGCACAGCAAACTCATATCTTTAAACCAAGTAATCTAACAAACTACTTTCAAATTTCTTACTAAAAACAAAATTGAACTACAAAACACATCAGCATTACTATAGCAACTCTTTCAAATACCAAACAGTACACAAAACCTTCTTAGACTACAAGGCTTAATTCTAAATAACCTACCTCCAAATAGCAATATTAATCCAAACATGTTTATTACTCTACTTCACAAAATATCAAATAATATTTACAAACAAATATGAATAGAGAAATGTAAAACTGTGCATCAAAATAGCCAACTAACAAATATACTAACAATCACAACTCTGAAACACTGAGCTACAGATCAAGTAACAGCAATAAAATATAAAAAATAGGCACCTATTTTTTTTTACTACTAATATAATTACATCCTACATTGCAATACTAAACCTAGAAGAGGTCTGACAGCCTACTCTAGTAGAGTTTTGGGCTAAGAATAAATTAGTTCTAGCTATAGTTTCATGTAATAATTTATATAATTTATTTTTATTAAGGTAATACCAAATTATTCAATAAAGACCAAGGCCAGGCCTTACTCTTAAAAAAAAAATAAAAATAAAAATAGGTTGGTGTTAAGTCCAGTATTAAAAGTGTTGTTGAACATGTTGGAGTATTTCAGTAGAATCAGTTATAATACTATTATCAGTTTTAATATTGTGAAAATGTACTAGATCTGTATATCTATTAAGAATGTTATTTATCATTTTGGTAGATTGTATTATTAGTTGTTCACATCTGTTATTAATAGCTATATTAATATGCTGTTTAAGGTTTTGAGTATTTTTAATACTACATGTATAAAAAAGAGCTTTTCATGCTTGCTTAGCATTATCAATTCATTGTAATAATAGTAGAGAGTTTTCAGATGAGTTTGAAATATCAAAGTTGTGTTTGTAATTAATAGTATCAATATCAATTATAGTTTGTATAGAAATAGTAAGGTTTTGTTTAAATGAGTTTTTAACTCTATAGATAATGTTTCCAATAAGTTTAAGGTCTTTGTATAAAGCTGTTACTTTAGGGCTAAAGATGTGAAATGAGTGTTTAATTGTTTGTTTTTGTTAGGAATATGTTGTAAGACTGCATTAATATACAAGTATAGATTTTGTACCAAAGTTTTTCTAATAATATTATAATATCTATTTGCAAAAATTTGTGTTAATGCATATTAAAGTTAATTTAATTTGAAAATTTCTTCTATTTTTTATTAGTTATTGCTTTGTAGTTAAAAGTTCTATGTTTGAATTTATTTTTTTTCTAGGTTTGTTTATTGCAAAAGAAAAGGTCCATTGTGCTATAAGTATTTGATAGTTACTATTAGTGATTCGTGATAAGCTATCAATATAGAATCTATTAAGAAATGAGATTGTATGTTCACTTGCCTATATGTAGTCAATTCTGTTAGTGTATCAACTACTTTGCCAGATAGCATTAGTATTATTTGTGTGATTTGCCAAGTCATATATCTTAATACTATGTAAATAGTTTAGTAGTTGATATTTAGCTGCATTCAATATAGTAGTTTGAATTGATGAATTAAAATCACTAAGAATAGTTATATGTAGTTGTAGCTGAAGTGCTTGTTGTATTCATATGATAATAAAGGATTGAGTTTGTTGGTAAGCAAGATTGTTTGTTGGTGATAGATATGTTGAGATTATTTGAAATTTGTAGTCATGTTTAAAAAAAAGGTCTATTGCAATAGTCCTACCAGAATGGTTAAGAATGTTATAAATATGTGGTTGTAAGTTATTTTTAATTATGATACATGTTCTTTTTTTAGATGTAGAGCAGTTTGACTAGTAATAAGAGAATTGATGATTATTGTAGAACTTTTTGTTTTTGGTTTCTGCAATTTTTGTTTCAGTTAAACTAATTATGTGTAGATTATTTTAAAGGCAACATTCTTTCATTAAGAGCTTCTTTTCTGGATTATTAAAGCCTTGAATATTATAAGTTGCAATGTATAAGTTGACTAAGAAGTTGGGTGAGTAGTTTGTATAAAGTCTTGGTAGAGATAATGGTGATAAGGAAGTAGGAAGAGGTGAAAGTTGTTGAAATGTTATTGGAGATGTAGAAGGTGAGTTCAGTATTAATGTTGTAGCATTTTGATTTGTTGGGTTAAGAAGATCATCTTCTGTTGTATATAATTTTAGTAGGATGTTTGGGTAGTTTCAAATAGCTTGAAGTAGTGAAATAAAATGATTAGATAGAGGTTTAGGTTCTGATGGAAGGTAGATATAGGCTTCACTATAATTATTTTTGATAGAAATAGTTAAAGTATAGCCACAGGCATTGTTTGATAAATAGTCAAAACTATAAATATGTCATAGAAAAGAAATAATTGTTTGTGGATGTGAAAGTAGTAGAAGGTGGTTGTAGGCTAGGAATTTATTGTAACAGGTATAAAGTTGTATAGAACCAAAATGTTCATTAGCAATAACAGTTTCATCATGATCAGACAAAACAGTTTTAACTAGTTGTGGATAAGTATAGTTTACAGTATTATCTTCAAGGATAAGTTTGATATATTGTGTGTTATTAGATGCTAGAGAGTATTTAGAAGGGATAGGTATTGATGAATAGAATCTATAGCCAGATCGATGTGAGATAAAGTGGTCAGATAAAGGTTCTGGTTTATTTGATAAATGTATTAAGCACTTGCTATAGTCTAGTTTGATTGATATTGCTAATGTAAAGTTGTAGAGATTAAGTGGTATATAATTGTAAAGATGTATATGTTCAAGAAAGGAGTAAAGAGTTTGTGGATGTGGAAGTAGAGATAAGCCTTGATGGGCTAACTATTTATTGTAGCATAAATCTGGATCAAGTAGTGTATTGTTTGGTGGATCTTGTAATATTTCCTTGAAGTGTAATGATGCAATGGAGTTCAAGAAAATAAAAAGTTCTTCTGTAGATTTGCTCACCATATGTTCAGCTCTCACAGCTGTAAAGAGTCTATAGCCTGCTCTGTACATTGAGTCTGGCCATCATAAACTTGGTTCTCTGTGTAAATAGACTTTCCCATCTGTCTATTTACATCAAGAACTTAAAGTTTATATGTAATTAATAATTAGATATTTAATATATAAAAAAAGGTTCTATCATAAAATTTGACATCCAAAATCTTGAAAACTATAATCTCTACATTATGTGAATTGACAATTAATACTTAAGATCAGTAATCATATTAACAATTATTGCTAGACTTTAAATTTTTAATTGTTATATTGCATAATGTCAGAATGTAATAGAATCATAAAAAAATGTCTATATATTTTTAACTAATTAGAATTTATTATATGAAAATTAGCCAATCATATTTGATTATATAATTCAAAATTCAGGTGTTTTCTAAAAAAAGTATATATTTTTTGTAGTCTGATACTGTAGAATAAAGCTTGTGACAAAATAAAATAAAATTAAATTAAATTAAAATTTTGTATAATGTAAAATAGATAAACTACTGAAAAATACAAAATTTTGGGATGTATTGTATTAGGGGTTAGCTTTAAAGGTAGAATTTATATTAAACAGATATAAGTAGATTTTAAAGATTAAATAGAAGCTCTAAATTTCATTTTAATCCAATTTCATTATGATCTGTAACAAAGCTTTTTGGCTCCAAAGAATTTAATCTTATACAAACATCAAAAACAATAAAATATATATAAAAAAAATTTTAAGATTACTAAAAAAAAAAATTAAAATATTATTAGAAATAATTGAACTAAATTAAGTTTACTTAAGCAAAACTTTCCTTCTTCTCTGATTCTTCTTCTTACTGCAACTTGTAGCAAAGATAATGTTCAAAAAATAACAGATAGTTTTGGATTATCAGATTTAAAAATATTTTAAAATTCTACAATATATTGATCTGAAATTCAATTTAAAGTTGTAAATAAGCCAGTACAAAAAGAAAACCAGTCAAAAATGTTAATAGATCTTATAAGTTCAGTTTTTCCAAATCAATATATAGTTTATTCTGCAACTATTAATAACTGTAACACTTTTTATAATATTATTATAAAGCATTATGGATCAAATATTATTAAAAAATATCATGGATCCATGCCAAGCAAAGATCAGAATAGGAATTTAAAATATTAAAAAAGTAATAAATTTAAATTAATTTGTGCAACAACTGTATTTGGAATGTGTTTAAATATAAGTGACATATGTGCAGTTATTCATATTATATTTCTAATGTCTATTGATGCATTGGTTCAAGAAGCAGGATGTGCAAGTTAAGATAGTGCAATAGCAAAAAATATTATTATGTATTTAAGTTTAGATATTCATATGCTATTATTAATTGTTTCACAGAGCCATTCAAGGTAAAGAAATATATATTAGCTTAGAGAATTTATACTTATTAGATAAATATAGCCTCCTTTAAAGCCAGTCATTTGACAATTACAAGTTCTAAGATAATCATAATATAAACTTCATATGATTAATTATTTTAGATCTTGCAATTGTTAAATGATTGATTATTTTAGAACTTTTAATTATTTAAATGACTAACTCTGAAGGAGAGCTATATTTACCTAATAAGTATAAGTCCCCTTAGTATTTGTATCAAAGCTACCAGATTTTAGTAGCATCTAAAATAGCACTAGTAAAATCATGATAACTACATCCTATAAATATATTTGGTTATGTGGTTGTTGTAATATCACTTATGCTATTTCAGATGCTACTAAAATCTGGTAGCTCTTATTTGTATATAAAAAAATATTAATATTAACTATTATAGTAATGAAGAAACTCATCTAGAAGATAATAATTCAGTAGATGTAATACAACAGTATGAATATTTATAAGAAAAACAAGATTCAATTTTTGAAATAGTAGCATATTGTAAATCAGTATATGAGTGTTGCCAGCAACAAGCTTACCAAAGTTTTTTGTAGTCTGGTGATTTTTTAATTGTTGAATATGAAAATTGTAATAATTGTAACCATTGGATAAAGGATGATGCATGTTGGTATAATGTTGAAACAGAAGCAAAACAGATAGTAAAGATTGTGGACCAAGTAATATCATTACAACAATCATTTGATTCTTCTTGGCCTTATATAAAACTAGATGATGTATTGGATATATTTATAGGTTCTAAAAGCCAAAATGCCAAAAAAAAAAATCTTTCAAGTTTGGAGGATTTTCAAAAACCTACCAAAAAAGAAACTATTTAAACATGTGAAAATGCAAATTATTTACTAGAACAGCTAATATTGTATAAAGTAATCTAACATAAAATAGAATTAAAATAAATACAATCTGACTCTTCAACCTTGAGCTACAGTTACCGAATTGTAAGCATTTCTGATAATTATGAATATTTGTTAGCATCATGAAAGTGAAGACTATTGCAAAAAAAAAGAAAAAGCTACTAATATTTATAAAATTATACAAATATAACAGAATAATATAGTTAAAGATTCTGTAATATAAAATTTCTAACTCTACTATTTAATTTATTCATATTTTTATTAAAACTTATAAATATCCTATTTGATAAAATTTATTTAGAATAAATGTAGTCTTAGATATTTGATCTACATTAGGCATTCTTTACTAATTCTTGACTTTTATTGTTTAAATTGTCTATATAAGTTGTTCGAATTTATTGGTTTATTTGCCCCTTAGAGTGAATATTTTATTATATATGCATATATATTGATGTGGTCAATGAACATAGATAATAAACAAAAATTGTATTCAAGGTAATACTAGGGACTGTAATAATAAAAACTTTTATATATTTAGAACTTAATAAATTTGCATAGTAGATAGCAAGACTCAAATACAAATAATACTATACATAGTTAATATAAAAAAGATTATATTTACTATATAATTTATAATAAAAATGAATGCTTACTTTTATTATTATTACTATAGAACATATATTTATTATATTAGAAATGTTATGCTATTATGTTAGCTTTACACTAATATGCAAGTTACTTTATATAAATTAACTTTGCCAATCATATATAATTTAGCTTGCTCAATTTATTACTGTAAAAAAAAATAATAATAATAAAGAAAGTTTTTTTGTTATTATTATTATTATTTTTTTTTTGCAATAATGAATTGAGCAAGCTGCTTTGCAAAATCTAATCAAGTTTGATTTTCAAATTAAATATTTGATCAAGTCAAGTTTGATCAAATATTTGATCAAATCAAATTCGATCAAATATTTGATCAAATCAAATTTAATCAAATTTGATTTGATCAAGTATTCTTATCCAATTAACAATTTATCAAGCAACAATATTTGATCAAATATTTAATTTGAAGCTTAAACTTTGATTGGATTTTGCAAAATACTAAAAAAAAAAATAAAGACAATTTGATTATTATCTAGCAACCTAATTGTAATAACCACAAAATATATAGGTGATTAGATACAAATATCTAAAACTTATATAAATATAAATAAGTCTTAACCTTATATATTAACTTATCTATAATATTTATCTAGTGAATATATACTATTCTCATATTTAATATAGAAATTGAGCTTGATATATACTGTAAGGTGCTGACTACAGTACTCTGGATATTATTTAATCAACTATCAAATTTCTTAAAAGTAACCTACTGAGTAATAATTACAAGAGAAGATACTTTACATAGTTAATAAAAATCCAATATTATATATATCTAACTAGATAATACCCAAGTCTTATTTAATCTTTTGGGTTATGAACCTATGAATTGTATCAGATCATCTTTACAGGGGTATTATAGCACAAAATGCTGTAGTCAGTATCATATGATATATACTATTAACTACTACTTACAGTATCAAGTCATCTTTAAAATCTATTTTTAAATTAAATAGTACTAGTAAGTACTATAAAAGTACAAGTTACTCTTGTTAATACCAACCTATTTGAATTGGCTTTAAATTATGTTAATAATAATATTAATAAGGGTTCATGTTGATAGTTATATTAATGAGGGTTCATATTAAAGTTAATATATATGAGGAAATTTTGATATATAAAAATTTACAAAATTTTAATTTGTTGTTTAGCTGAATATTAACAAGAGCAACCTGTAGTAAACCAATATATAGATGTATCTTCATATATTAATAAAGAATTGAATTATTTTTCAAAAATACTCTAAATAATGATTAATAATGCATCATTCTTCTAACAATGGTAATAGTAATGAGATCAACGTAATGCTAAAATTTATATAAAATACTAAATATAAATTAAAGAGAAATTACTTACATTTGAGACCAATTATTGGCCTTTTTTTTTATTCCAATTTTATTTCAATAGTATTACTAGTCTGTCTATATCACTTATTTTAGCAAAATTTTGTTAAATTCTTTTTATTCAATCTTTTTAGCATTAATTCTATTCAATTTTATTTTTTTTAACTCCAATTCTATTTGACTACAAGCACCAAGATTTGATATTTCTTTATCATAATCTATTTAAGCAGATGCTAATATGTCTTATGTTCATCAAATTCTATAGTAATAATAATATAACATTATGTATTTACTTTTATATATCTAGTGCTTTGCAAAATCAAATCAAAGTTTGAGCTTCAAACCAAATATTTGATCAAGTCAAATTTGATTAAATACAAATTTGATCAATTATTCTTGATGAACAATTCAATAAATAAGAAAACTTGATCAAATATTTGATTAAATTTAACTTGATCAGATATTTGATTTGAAATTCAAACTTTGATTTGATTTTGTGAAGTGCTAAGTATATTAGTTTATTTTGATAATAACAAATATATAGAATTTACTCTTTTAAATTCAGGTTCTTTCTCATAAAAAACACTAATGTTATTATAAATAATTGTTATATATGTTGTAAATAGGAATGAAATTTAAGTGGATTTGGAATTTCTTAGTTAAATTAAGGTTAGAGTAAGAGCATTTATATGATAAAATTAACTCAAAATGCTAGTTTTATATAAAAATTCTGAATCTACTTAGATTCTGTTTCTATTTAAAATATATCTTTTTAAATTTCAATTCTTCTTGACTTCTATTCTATTTCGATCTTACCTTGAAGTTTCACTTAATATTTCTATCTTAACATGTTTCAATACTAAGTAAATGCTTTCACTTATTGTTTTTAACCTTAATCCTGTTTTATATAATTATTCTTTCATTGGCATTTCTAATATCATTGTTGGTTAGTGTATTAGATTCTATGATCGAAAAAAAGAGAATAAATTATAAATTAAAACAAAGCAAGTTTCTATTTGCAAAATAATATAATATTGTAACTTGAACTTGAAGTTTATATATGAATTTAGTATAATTCTTTCGACATATATACTTAGAGTATTCCTTTAGCTCATGTTATGCATCTGGGTACTCATGTAGGGACATGTTTTACTATTATATGCCTAAGTACAAAAGTGTAATATCCTTATACTTATACCTGGATATAAATCAAAATTTTGTCTTTAAAATTGTTGCAGAGTATAGCTCACAGGGTATACATGTCAAAAAATATATTAGTTAATCATATTTATTGATGAACATCTATTGTGTTACTGAAATCTATTTTTAGATTTGTTGGAATCTACATTATGCATGACACAGGTGTACTATATTTTATATTGTATAACCAATCAGAGAAAGCCTATCCTTAACAGAAAACTTATTAGAACATTTTATATCTCATATATAACTGATTTAGTTTTATGCAATATGCTATAGTTTTTTGATACTTACAATCACAAGGGTTATCTGTTAAACTGCTATATTATATTTTTTTATTTTTGTAAAGTTTACTAGAATCTTAGTACCTATTATCATAATATCTTCTCTATTATCTTTTACTAACTGCTACTTAGAATTAACAGAACTCTTTCAATTTTCAATTCAGATAGTCTGATATAGAGTATATATATATCTTTTTCTTTTGGCAATTTTGATAACCTAGTTGGTCATATGCTTCTCTATATTTCTTGTTATCTAGTTTATTTACTTATTTCTTTGAGAGTATTTTATGAATTTCTATTAGTCTAACTGTATCATTGAAAGTTTATATTATCTCTTTATTTGAGAATTTCTAAGTAAACTTCTAACTCTTTAGTTCTTTAGTTTATTGCATCTAATAGTCTTATTATAAGTTTATATTAAAATTTTATGCAATATTGATTATTAACATTTTTTTATATACATATAATATTACATTTATATAGATGCTCCAAATATCTATTTAAAATAATATAACTTAAGATTACATATATGCTAATTCAACTAATTATCAAGAGACAGTTTGTCATAATATAAGTATAATTTTTAAATTTTATCATGGGTAGAATTTGAACACTAGACCTATTACTTAAGAGATGATAACTTAACTACTATACTATAATTACTATTTTCTTAAAAATTTAAATTTAAATATATTATTAAATAATTTTTATTATTTTATAAATATAAGGAGATGTTAGTAAAAACTAGACAAATTGTTTTTAAGTAAATTTTTTTAAAATTTTAAAGTAAAATATCTTAACAATTATTAAACCAAATTTTATAAAAATTTTTTTATTTTAATTCTATTCAGTTATAAAATTAAAAAAAAATAAATTTATCAAAATTGGTTTAATAATTGTTAAAATATTTTAATTTGAAATTTTAAAAAAACCCAACAAAAACAATTTGATTAGTTTCTACTAACATCTCTCTTATATGCATTGTAATGCATTTATAAGATTAAATGTAATATAAAATTAAAACAAACTAATCAATACATTAATTTAAGATAAGGATTAATACTAAAATAGATCAGAATTAAGTAAAAATAAAAATAACTTTTATATTAAAATTTTGCAAAAAATTTTTTTTATTAAAATACAAAAGGTAATTTTATAAGCAAAATTTTGAACTACAAATAAATTTTAGAAAAATTAGTATTTTTTTAATTTAATATTATACCTAGTCTTATGATCTGATTGGTTAATTAGATAAATGCATTACAATATATATGTACTAAATTATATAAACTTTATTAAATATAAAAATAGACTAAAAACTAATAAATATTCTTTATAATATTTTTTAATTTTTTAATTTTAATTATTTAAAAACTATTGTATAAAATTTTATAGATTTTTTTATTTAAAAACTTTAGATTTAATAAATAAAATATATTATTTTTAACTTAATATCTTTTTTAGTTAATTT